GATTATGTGAAACTTACTAATACTCTTTTATTTATTTAATTCTTGACTTTTCAGTTTTATTTTTTGGATAGATATTCGTCAATTCTAGAAGGTAATGTATGTATACTCATTTATTAACATTTGTTTATTTTAAGTTTTAAACTGAAATCTATAATATAATTTAATTACGGCTTTAACATTTCTTGTCAATTGATCTCAATTTAATAATAAACGATGCCATAACTTTAAACAAAATTTGTGAAGTTCGATGAACTCTATGCAAAATGATACACTTAAAGATCAATCTTATTTAAGAGCTACTTTGTCAAGCGCTTCTTAGAAATTCTTTATTTCACTTTTAAGACTAATATATTCAAAGAGAAAGAAAGAACACAATTGTATTATGTTGGGTGAACAATAAATTAAGCTTGACATAAAAGTTCACCTATAAAGACGTTCACGCTTCTGAATCTTTTTAAATCTTACAATAAAATCTACAGAAATAAATAATATTCACTGCCTTACATTTTTTGTTTATATACAAATTCTAATTAGTTACTTAAATTAACTTGATATATCTTACACACAGCGGTCTACGATTCCTAATTTGCGCTTTGTTTAGCCTGAACTATGGTAAAATCCTTTTTAAGGTCTGTCATTTTTTTTCTTATAATACTACAAATAAATGGACAGTCTATTCTATGGTAAATTTGAAATAACTACAAGTATATCATATCATTCATATTGACTTGTCATTTCTACGTTCTATTATTATATACTTTCATGTTATTGTTCATATATCGTCATGATCGTAGAACAACGTCGGTTTTGAAAAAAAATACAAGTTTTTACCATTATTGGGTACTACACTGTCTAAATATTACTATTGCTATTTTTACTGCATCTTAAAACAAACCCTTCTTTTCATTTGTATGCCAATTTTCATAATTACAGATTTAGAATTAAAAAAGTTATGTCAAAAAACACTAACATAATAAAAACTAACGTAAAGTTTAATAAATATATCGACTATGACGATATGTTACTTGTTTTATTTACTCGGGTTTAATCTACGAAGGTGGATCCCCAAGAACCCTGACAGTCAAAAAAAAGAAAAAAAGTTACTTCAGGGGAGATTGTTTTAATTCTACCATGCATATGTTTGCTCCGTAATTCGTTACGGCATTATAGTTTTGGGTTACTCATCAGATATTTCGCGAGTATTTTTAACTTTTTTTTTTTTTTTTTTAAAAAGATTATTTTTAACGCAAAAGAAATCGCTTCGTGCAATATTCGGTTTGAAATAGACAGATTCATTCAGGCCTATTTTTGTATCTCACAATCTGTTGACCGTCCCTAACATGTTCATCTACGATGTAGCTAAACTTGTGAAGTGCAATAAACAGATCTTTGAACTTAAGGATAATACCAAGAAACGTAAAAATACTCACTCGTATTTTAAATTACCAGTACATCGCCTAGAAAATTTTAGGTTTAGCTGTGTACCTGTGTGTATATGAGGAGTACTCTTATTTATAACCCGTTGCCGGAGCATATTGGAACTCTTCTTTATCACAAATTTTGTGCTACGTTAAGAAATTGGCTAGTAGCAGAGTGCTTTTAGTCCGTCAATGTTTTTAAAAGTCTTCTACTTAGTCATATCACTACAGAAATGCGTAAAGTAAATATGATTTTTAATATTTCAATTGTAATGTAATATTTTTGTATGTTACAGCTAAATAGTCATCAATCTAATGTTTTATATAGTTTTGTTTTCATAACTTTATCTGTGTCGTCCTAAGAATTCGCATGCTATCTAAATGTAGCGAAATTTGTCTTGTGCTTTTAACATTGTAAACCACCGACGGTGACAACCACATTTTCTGCAAATAAATATTATCATTTTTATTTTTAGTCTCTTACCACGTACACCACAGCCGTTAATGCTGAAAATATTTGGTTCTTTTTGTAATTATATAGGTAGTTTAATCTTTAATTATTTGCACAAAAAACATTTAATATACTTTAACTACAGAACTACCCTATAAATAAATATAATATCTTATTAATACGTTATTAAGTGTAGAGAAAAAAAACAATAAACAGAAAATTTTCTATTTATGTCTAATATAATAATTTGATATCAAGAAACTTTACTTCATTAAATGAAACCTTCTAAAATGGCGCAATAGACCGGCGCTGTCCCCGTTCTGAATATTGAGTTTTAGATTTAATATTATTTTGAGAAAGCTTTTTAACTCGTAGATTGTCAATTAGAACTTTGGATGATATTTGCGTATTTGCTTCAACTTTTACTAGAATCGAATGTTATGTTATGTTTTAAAGATTTAGGACACATTCTAATATTTGTAATTATTTTTTTGGTAAAATTGCCATTGTTACGTGCAAATTCATGTATATTTTGTAAGATGGTATGCAATTGATTAGTCAATTGTCAATCGACTGGCCTGTTGGTCTAGTGTGTAGTCACCCTGACTACTAAGCCGGAGGTCGTGGGTTCGATTAGCACACCGGACAAATATTGTGTAATGAGCACGGTCATTTTTTCTGTGTCTATATGTAGTTTATCTATAATATGAATGTATTTAAAAAGATATAAGTATTTATCAGCAGTCTGGTTTCAATATTATTAGGATCAGACGGCCGTATGTGAGATGTGTGAGGTATAAATACTATATTAATTAAGAAGACAAAGTTGCTTTGATAGATCTATTAATGTTTGTTGGCTTCTGATGCCTTGTAAATATTTTTATATGAGAGACAAATGACCTTAGTCGGGGTGTAGAAAACTGAAAGTGAAATAATATATATTTATCTCACACATATACTGAAGAACGATTTTCACTCGTAACGAAAAAGTTAAAGGCCAGCGAAATACTAATTAGATTTACTCTTACTCTAAACTTATTATGTCTCTTTTATCTACAAACACATTATCTCAATATTTACATAGAATATTCATGATGCACACATTTTATACTACAAACTTGTACAAAACAATACTTACCTACCAACTTAAGACTTTCACAATCTTCCTCCGAGCCTTTTTTCCAAACTAGGTTGGGTATCTTTTACGCGGAGCGACTGCCATTAGACCTCCACGACCCAAGTACTAGGCGAAATCGAAGTTCTGTAGAAAGACTGTTGTCACACTTTTTAGGGCTCCTACTACCCGTAACGATTGGCACAGATGTTCCGGTTGCAACTGGGGTCGACGGCTTAACGTGCTCTCCGAGGCACAGAGGAGTCTCAATGTATTACCCATCTATACACTAACCTAGCTAGGGTTGCTTAACTTTGCAATGAGTTAACCTACTGGATTACCACTTAGCCACGAGCCTCTAACAATAATATTAAATAAATAAAGGGAATATATGTATGTGTCTGTGTGTGCGCGTGTGTGTATCAATATGTGTATATATGTTTGTATCTACTCATGTGTTATAGTCATGTCATTCAGGTATTCATATATGTAAATGAAATGCGGTAAATAGTGTGAGTGTTCGATATATATCTTAATGATCTTCTTTTAATTTGGTGTATATAATACATTGTCAACTGGGATCCCGGTTCTAGTTAATTGCGGTTCGAATAGCCGGAACCTTGAGAATAGTTCCGAGGTGTTAAATTATAGTATTGTTATCCATACTATGTTTTTACGTACAAAGTCATTTCGACGTTGGGAAGTAGATTGAAAACTTTATATATGCCCCTCTACCTAAGCCATATGCAAATATTCGGAGAAAGAAAGAGAGAAATTGATATCAATTTACTTGCTGGTAATCTTGGACTAAGTGCATTAGTCGTGAATGTAGATTCAATTTGTATTCACGTTTGGTGTACTCAACTATAAACGTAATTAACATTAAATATTTTTACATATGAATAGAAATGCAAGTAATAAATTTTTTCTCACATTAGAAGGAGGTTTATTGTGATATTTATTTTATGGAAACCTATCAAAATTCGAACTCTAAGCAACGATTACTGATTTTAAATTTAGAACTATTTATACCTGGGTATTTAAACAAGGTATTATCTTCTGCCAATCAAACAAACTGTTAACACTTTTACTTGTGTTTTATCGGATTAATTACGTAACGTAAGTGAAGTTCACCTCTTATTTACATTGCTTGTCGGTTGGCTCAATCTACGAGTTAACGTAAAGTTTGGGAGGGACGAGGGGACTGTAAAGGTTGGAGCGAGCGTGGATCGGTTCAGACGCCGTCATGTGGACGGACCGCTTACAGCCCACGGCACACAATTCGTTTGATCTCATCGCCGGCTGCTCTAAGCGCTATTTATGTCCTCGCAAGGCCACCTCTCGATGATGACGCTACACAAATAACGATATCGCCCTCCTGACAATGATACATCTAGTTAAATCTTTCTAGCAATGCCTTCAGAAGTTACTATATTATTTAATCTTAACTTGCAAATAAAGGTTTAACTAATTTTTTGAATATTTTACATTTGTGACAGTAATTAAAAAATTTGTATTATAATAATGTAATTACTTTTACCTAGAATATTAATCAATTTAAATGTAAAAGTCACAAAATTGACATTCAGTCAGACAGTCAGTCAGTATTAATCGGTACCAAACGTATACCTTAGATCGAAGCATCGCAATGTCGTCGCTTGCTCTAAATTAGGAAAAACTGACCTTATTTTAGTGGCCCACTTTTGGATATTTAAGTTATTACTTTTTACTAATTTTATTTCGTTACTATAAGTTTAAAAGCATTGCTCGATTTATTATACACTTTTGGATCAAATTTCGAATGATTTATCATTGTTTTAAATCGGTTTTATAAATGTGTTTTTGTTACAGATCGTGGCTGAATCTGCAATAAATATGTCAACAAAATATGTGCCACAAACTGGAATACTGGAATACAATGCCTGCCAAGAGCGTAATTTCGAAATGGCTACGGACAAAACAAGGAAAACATAAACACTCACCATGGCGCTAACGAGCAAGTAACTATCGGAAAAATATGAACGTGACGGATCCGGATGTACTAGTGGCAAGAGGCCAACTGGACATACTGTACCGGGGGCCAGAGTATATACTGGAGTCCGCCCGCGCCTCATATAACAATGCTATCGAATTTAATGTCACGTTTGAAAATAACAGCACCTATAATGTTTCCCAAGATTCAGAAGAACAGTGGAACAAGTATATAAAACTATTACAAGACAGAGTGCTACTCGTTTCATTTCTTCTATTGTTCTCCTTGACAACAGTCTTTGGCAATATGCTCGTCATCTTAGCCGTAGTGAGGGAACGCTACCTCCATACTTCAACTAACTACTTTGTGACGTCATTAGCAGTAGCGGACTGTCTAGTCGGGCTAGTGGTGATGCCTTTCTCCGCACTATATGAAGTATTAGAACATACGTGGTTTTTCGGTGTTAACTGGTGCGATGTGTGGCGGTCTTTAGACGTATTATTTAGTACGGCCTCAATATTAAACTTGTGTGTGATCTCGTTGGACAGGTATTGGGCAATCACGGATCCAATAACATACCCAATGCGTATGAGTGGACGAAAAGCAGCGTTTTTGATCGCGGCTGTGTGGGTATGCTCCGGGGCGATATCATTTCCCGCGATAGCGTGGTGGCGCGCCGTACGAGTAGAGGAAGTCCCAGATTACAAATGTCCATTTACGGATAACTTGGAGTATTTAATATTTTCATCGACAATTTCTTTCTATTTACCACTGTTTGTGATGGTGTTCACTTACTATCGTATATATCGTGCAGCGACTATTCAAACGCGGTCGTTAAAAATCGGCACTAAACAAGTAATGAGACCTAGTGGGGAACTGGAGCTGACTTTGAGAATTCACAGGGGTGGTACAGTGCGCCAGCGCAGTGATGCGTGTCACGGTGTTTGTACACCAGACGAAGCCGATCAAGAGCCTCTGACAGCTTTACAGAACAACGGTCTATCGCGTTCCTCAACACGTTTAACTAATGTAACTCACGGCAAACATTTGCCTAAAAACTTTTCGCTCTCAAGAAAGTTGGCGAAGTTCGCCAAAGAGAAGAAAGCAGCCAAAACTTTAGGTATAGTGATGGGTGTGTTTATAGTGTGTTGGCTGCCATTTTTTGTGGTGAACTTACTGTCAGGTATTTGCTCCGCGTGTATCATGCACGAGGAGATCGTGAACGTGGTGGTCACCTGGCTTGGCTGGGTCAACTCTTCCATGAATCCTGTCATTTACGCCTGTTGGAGCAGAGACTTTCGGAGGTAAGCATTAATATTTAATAACAAGGTATTTAACTTTATACTTTAGTTCTGTGTTATAACTGTCATAAAATTAATTTTATACAAAATATATACATCAGAAAACGCGCTGTTGTCCAGAGATTTGCAAGGTTCATAGTAGATACTTATTTATTATTAAATAAATTTTGTTATCTCTTACAAATCCAAAAATTCTATAATAAACATTACAACTGTAGCCAGTTTCAACTATAATAAACTTCATACACAAATTTAAATAAAACTGTAAAGTGCGTCGTTGGGAATTGATAAATACAAAGTGTACTCGGATTGCAAGTGGAATTCTCACTTGACTGGTTTAATTTAAACTGTAGTAACGTTTCAGAGGGGTGACAAAGGGTCGTTAGCTGTACACAGAGAACAACACTGTAGTTTGCAAGCCTGTGTGTTTAATTAAATCTTTTTGGGCGCTTAGGAATGTTAAGTTAGAACGTACCACAAGATTACATTACTTTTGATTTTTACTTTCATGCAATACTCTTAAATTTGTAGACATTACGATAAATTCCGCTGCGTTTAAAATTGATATCTACTAGCACTAACATATTTTTTTTTCTATTTATAATAAACAAATACTCTATCATTTGAAAAGAAGTGATGTCCATAAAAGAAATAGTGAAAATGTAACAATATGTGATAAAGTTAATGAGTATAAAATAATAAATGATAAGAAGTGATAGAGTTAGTGAGTACTATCTCTATCTTGTTATATTTGTAGAGTGGCCATCCTAAAAAAAAATCACAAAAAAATTAGAAAAGCTCATAATATTCTTCGACCTTCAAAGCACTAGCGTGTGTGTGTGTAACGGTAAGGCTACTAGATATTCTATCAAAAGCAGACGAGAGCACTACGCCTCCGCCTCTCTACAAAGGGCAAGGCCTTCTACACGTAATAATGTAGCTGCCTACAGCGGCCAAGCTCTGCCGGAGTTCTCGTTGCCTCTATCCTTTGTATACCTGAATACATTGCACTAGACTTACATGTGATGGATACATTACACCGTTTGGTTTTATCAGATTCGATTCCCACATACCGCTTCACCGTGAACACCGGTCGGGTGGTGATCCGTAGCGACTCGCACACGAAAAAAAAAATAACACAACACACAGACGCTTATTTTACCTTCAAAATTATGTTACGATAACACGTGTAATGTGTAGTTTAAATCTAAATTCCCACACAAAAGATTTATAGCACCAACTCACACAAGGTGTCAATTATGGGATATTCCCAGCCCCAAGTCACATGTGTCCAATCGTGTCGGGAATTACAACGAACCTATAAATCTGAAAACATTATGATATGGATGAGTCACCATTAAATCATTTTCACGGTCGAATTTTTTGCAGGAGGAATAAAGCTGATATGCAAAGGCGGAATGAATTGTGGGGGAGTATAATGGCAAATAGGATGCTATTTATGAGTTTGAAAAATGCTATGCAATGTAATTTTTTTCGAAATTTCGGTCTGTTATCTTCAATTCTTTTTTACTAAATAACTTTTTTTTACTTCCTAGGTTTTTTTGTAACGAATGTACAGAATGTGAAGCATCTGAATCAATATGGTATTTCCCTCTACACCCGTTTGTTAAGAGTTATAGTTTAATTTGATATTTAGACAACAGTAAACAACTACAAAATTTACTAAAATTTATACATTCGTTTTATTCGCATATTTCCATTTCATAACGAAAAGTGATAAAAATGCTAACGCTATGCTATTTTATCATCGTGATGTCATGTCAATGCTCATTGGGCTATAGAACTATGGAATTTTTTGTAGATTTGGTTCAGAAAATGCTTAAAAATACATGTACGTACTAATGATTAACATATGTATGAAAAACTTGAGAAGCTTATTACTAATATTAGTTTAAAATAATGATATCTTAATTAAGTAATAGCTGACATTTAGTTTAAATTTTGCATCTGTCTCTAAACTAGGCTTAACACGTGTATCTCAGGCAACAGTGCTCTTCTACCGTAATATTCGCTATAACACGTTACCGTACCGTACTATTCGCACGTACTACCGTAATATTCGAATAAGTTTTTTTTAAACATAGTTAAATAATTAACATTCACTTATTACTATGTATACTTATAACAAGTACATGAGCATTGTCATACAAAGTGTGTAGTTAAACCAACTCAAAATAACAGTTTGCTGTAATGTTATTACATTTAAGCCTGTAAAAAGTCTTAATTTGGACTCTTAACGAGTCCAAATTATGACTAATATCTACACTTAATTAGTGGGCACCGGCTATCTTATAATTAAAATTATGTGTGTGCCCCAAGCATAAGGAAATTATCAAAAGCGAAGCTTGCCTTGTTTTAGTTAAATAAATAAGAAATAAAAAGAAGACGGGCTGTTCGATAAAATTATTATCGACATTTATACCCAAGTTAACGAAGCTAACTTGATTATTAATAGTATCGATCAAATTTGATTTGGTTAATGGACCTTCGAGCCTAGCCATTGACTTCGAATCAAATTCAAATTATTTATTTCCTTTAAATGGGGTAGTACATAATGTGGTACCCCATTTAAAGCAAACAAATAATTTTCATTGAATAGGCCAGTATTAAATATTACTAAGGGTTCATTAACTGAGCGAAATCTCTAATGACTAGTGAACATTAATAAAGTGGAGTGATTTTACCAACTTCATAATAGACAAAGGTAAATGTACAAAACTTTAAGTATTCCTTACATTTACATAAGCCTTTCTAATACTGGTTAGTACTGTTTAAATCAGCAGAAGCCCTTGCATTGTTCAAATTTGATAAATGTATTTAACTGCTTGCCGCTTGCTGATGCCTGTGGCATTTTCAACTTTAACCTAGCACAAGTGATTCTGTAGGTCTAACTTTAGTCTAGTATTATTCCTATTTTGTTTATTCCAATCCAACGTTGCTACTTCACAGTGAACTTTGAGATAAAATGTTTTAATCAAAATGGTTTAATTTTTTTCAAGTATTTATGCTTAATATTATTTTTTACAACCATGTTAATTTCAAAAGAAAAATAACAACGTTTATGAGCCAACACTCAGTTGACAGACACGTGTACACTATAGTAAATAAAAATGTAACTTAAAGTACTTAAGAGAATGGCTTGACTAATTCGACCACATCGCCACTAATTAGTCTAGATTAGATTTTTAATGAAAATAAGCGGAAGTTTGAATGTGCTTAGAAAATATCTTTTTTTTTAATATTTGCTAAACAACTTCTGACGGGTAAGTGTCTGTCAGTCTGCCTGTTCAATACTAATATGTAAAACACACAAACTGAATTAACTTTTGTGTATACGGCATTACTAAACCTTCATAAATAAACTCACAGATATGGAAACATTTAAAAATTAATCCCTTTATTTAGGTATAAAATGCCCTCGCCGCCAATCCCGACCATAAATTGTTTAAAAGATATCTAAGATCACCATCAGCTAAACTTAAATATATTTGTTTACTGCGTAAGCACAAGGACAGTGCCATTTCTCTTTGTAGTAGCGTTTAATGGAGTAGTTGAGATATAACACTCGACTAAGTTTATAAGGCTACTCAATGACCGTCCAACTACTATGTTAATACTTGGCATTGAGCCAAAATTTACTAAATAAACAACGCCACTGTTTTATGTACAAAGGGTTGTGTGGAAATCTGTGATCTGCTTATCTAATTACATGTTGTGCTCTTTAGTAAATATCTGTTAGGTGTATAAATAATCTTTGTTAAATTTAATACAGTATACTTTGGTACCAAGCTTTGGTCAAATGTAGAGTAAACGTTTGTAGAAGAATTTCTTAAGTGGACGTGGAGATTGTATTTCTTCTATTATTTCCTCGAGAGGTTGAAGTGAGGTCTTCAAAGTGTATGGTTTTAAAAAGTGTTTTTTGATTTGGTACAGGCAATACTATTTGCAATTATAATAGGGGTTTAAGTATGAAATCATAGTAATAGATACTTTGAATTGACATAAAACCTTCACGGTGTAAGATTTTGTGTTAAAATTTTTATGCGGTTCTTCTTTTAGGAAATGTGCAACACAACATTCTATTTTCGACTGTCAATTGTTTTTTTTTTTTCAGCTTAGAAGTGAAAGATGAATACTTCGATATTCCGAGTCATTTTTTAAGCGCATCAGAAACGGCAGGAAACACAAGTGGATAACGCTGAATTGAAGGAGATGGTGAAAAACCGATCCGAGTCAAACTACCAAGGAATTAGCGGCATGGTTTAACGTTACCCTACCTGCAATATTGTCACATTTGTTTCAAATCAATAAGATAAAATTATAAAAATGGGTGCCTCATGATTTGACTGATCAATCGAAACTTGTGTTGCCTTGTTGAATCGGTACAGAAATCAAGGTAATATTTAATCGAATTGTGAGTGTGTACCATAACCGTAAATGAAAAATGCAATGGCTGACCCCAGGTCAAACGCCGCAACAGTGCCCTAAAGCAAAGCTTACCAATAAAAAGGTAATTATAACTGTTTGGTAGTCTCTTCATGGTGTTAGTCACTATTGTCGCATCTAAACCCCCAGAGTTCTATCGTAAAGGCATTAAAAACTACCGTTTAGATGCAGCATACAGCAATGTATAGTTAATGAGGGTAAATATTTCGATTAACAGAATATGTTACATCTTATAAAAATACGAGTTTAAATTTTTAAATACAAGTGGACGACTGTAACACTAGTAAGTGCTGTTTGGATATTATTCCTTTTGGAATTAATTTAATTAATAGTAGACATATTAAGCCATCAGTTCTCGAATAGCGTTCTAAGAACATAGAATTAGTAATCAGTCTAATTCGTCTAAAAAATAATCATTTTATTATTAAAAAACAGCAGTAACTCCTCATATTCCACTACTCATCCATTCCAATTTCACGTTCAAAATAAAAAATATATTATTTACACACAGATCAGACATACTGTATTTATACTCGTATA